ATCTTACCTGGCACCAACTCCCTCGTCACATGAGTTACTAGGGGACACCGCCGGCGACATGTTGGTCGGTGTTACATGCATCTTACCTGGCACCCACTCCCTCGTCACACGAGTTACTGGAGGACATCTCCGGAGACAGGTTGGTCGGTGTTACGTGTATCTTACCTTGCACCCTCCCCCTCGTCACACGAGTTGCTGGGGGACACCTCCGGAGACAAGTTGGTCGGTGATACATCTCCAAAGTTCTATAAAGACGAAACGAAAAGTGTAGCACGACCTACAGGGAATTTCAAAACAAATAACTACAGCGATAAAGTGCCACAAACAACTTTTTATTATGACATGTCTCTACCGACATTTACATGTACAATGTAAATAGACAAACATCACTGATAAAACAGATCTATAAAACTCTTATGACACAATATTTGACCAATGAAGAACCATTGTATAACATTAGACTTGACGGCAACCTTAGTCTCCGTTGTTATGTGTGTACTACAGTTACAATCATACAGCATATGACTAATAACAGACCAATGATACAACATACATGTAGGGCCAGTGAAAGACCGATACTACAACATACATGTAGGACCAGTGAAAGACCGATGATACAACATACATGTAGGGCCAGTGAAAGACCGATGATACAACATACATGTATGGCCAGTGAAAGACCGATGATACAACATACATGTAGGGCAAGTTAAAAGACCAATGATACAACAAACATGTTGTATATGGTTATGTTATCAGAATGTAGTGGGTGATAAATAAACGACACGTTGTACAGGTTTATGTTATCAGAATGGAGAGGGGGATAAATAAACGACATGTTGTATAGGGTTATGCTATCAGAATGGAGTGGGTAATAAATAAACGACACATTGTACAGGGTTATGTTATCAGAATGGAGAGGGTGATAAATAAACGACATGTTGTATAGGGTTATGTTATCAGAATGGAGTGGGTAATAAATAAACGACACGTTGTATATGGTTATGTTATCAGAATGTAGTGGGTAATAAATAAACGACACGTTGAATAGGGTTATGTTATCAGAATGGAGTGGGTGATCAATAAATGACACGTTGTATATGGTTATGTTATCAGAATGGATTGGGTGATAAATAAACGACACGTTGTATAGGGTTATATTATCAGAATGGAGTGGGTGATCAATAAATGACACGCTGGATATGGTTATGTTATCAGAATGGATTGGGTGATAAATAAACGACACGTTGTATAGGGTTATGTTATCAAAATGGAGTGGGTGATCAATAAATGACACGTTGGATATGGTTATGTTATCAGAATGGATTGGGTGATAAATAAACGACACGTTGTATAGGGCTATGTTATCAAAATGGAGTGGGTGATCAATAAATGACACGTTGGATATGGTTATGTTATCAGAATGGAGTGGGTGATAAATAAACGACACGTTGCATAGGGTAATGTTATCAGAATGTAGTGGGTAATAAATAAACGACACGTTGTATAGGGTTATGTTATCAGAATGGAGTGGGTGATAAATAAACGACACGTTGTATAGGGTTATGTTATCAGAATGTAGTGGGTAATAAATAAACGAAACGTTGTACAGGGTTATGATATCAGAATGGAGTGGGTGATAAATAAACGACACGTTGTATAGGGTTATGTTATCAGAATGGAGTGGGTGATAAATACACGATACGTTGTATCGGGTTATGTTATCTGAATGGAGTGGGTGATCATTAAATGACCCGTTGTATATGGTTATGTTATTAGAATGGAGTGGGTGATAAATACCCGATACGTTGTATCGGGTTATGTTATCTGAATGGAGTGGGTGATCATTAAATGACCCGTTGTATATGGTTATGTTATCAGAATGGAGTGGGTGATAAATACACGATACGTTGTATCGGGTTATGTTATCAGAATGGAGTGGGTGATCATTAAATGACACGTTGTATATGGTTATGTTATCAGAATGGAGTGGGTGATAAATACTCGATACGTTGTATCGGGTTATGTTATCAGAATGGAGAGGGAGATAAATAAACGACATGTTGCATAGGGTTATGTTATCAGAATGGAGTGGGTGATAAATAAACGACACGTTGTATAGGGTTATGTTATCAGAATGTAGTGGGTAATAAATAAACGATACGTTGTATCGGGTTATGTTATCAGAATGGAGAGGGTGATAAATAAACGACATGTTGCATAGGGTTATGTTATCAGAATGGAGTGGGTGATAAATAAACGACACGTTGTATAGGGTTATGTTATCAGAATGTAGTGGGTAATAAATAAACGACAAGTTGTATAGGGTTATGTTATCAGAATGGAGTGGGTGATAAATAAACGACACGTTGTATAAGGTTATGTTATCAGAATGTAGTGGGTAATAAATACACGATACGTTGTACAGGGTTATGTTATCAGAATGGAGAGGGTGATAAATAAACGATACGTTGTATCGGGTTATGTTATCAGAATGGAGAGGGTGATAAATAAACGACACGTTGTATAGGGCTATGTTATCAGAATGTATTGGGTGATAAATACACGATACGTTGTACAGGGTTATGTTATCAGAATGTAGTGGGTAATAAATAAACGACACGTTCTATAGGGTTATGTTATCAGAATGGAGTGGGTGATAAATAAACGACATGTTGTATAGGGTTATGTTATCAGAATGTAGTGGGTAATAAATAAACGACACGTTCTATAGGGTTATGTTATCAGAATGTAGTGGGTAATAAATAAACGACACGTTCTACAGGGTTATGTTATCAGAATGGAGTGGGTGATAAATAAACGACACGTTGTATAGGGTTATGTTATCAGAATGTAGTGGGTAATAAATACACGATACGTTGTACAGGGTTATGTTATCAGAATGGAGAGGGTGATAAATAAACGATACGTTGTATCGGGTTATGTTATCAGAATGGAGAGGGTGATAAATAAACGACACGTTGTATAGGGCTATGTTATCAGAATGTATTGGGTGATAAATACACGATACGTTGTACAGGGTTATGTTATCAGAATGTAGTGGGTAATAAATAAACGACACGTTCTATAGGGTTATGTTATCAGAATGGAGTGGGTGATAAATAAACGACATGTTGTATAGGGTTATGTTATCAGAATGTAGTGGGTAATAAATAAACGACACGTTCTATAGGGTTATGTTATCAGAATGGAGTGGGTGATAAATAAACGACACGTTGTATAGGGTTATGTTATCAGAATGTAGTGGGTAATAAATAAACGACACGTTGTATAGGGTTATGTTATCAGAATGGAGTGGGTGATAAATAAACGACACGTTGTATAGGGTTATGTTATCAGAATGTAGTGGGTAATAAATAAACGATACGTTGTACAGGGTTATGTTATCAGAATGGAGAGGGTGATAAATAAACGACACGTTGTACCGGGTTATGTTATCAGAATGTAGTGGGTAATAAATAAACGACACGTTGTATAGGGTTATGTTATCAGAATGGAGTGGGTGATAAATATACGACACGTTGCATAGGGTTATGTTATCAGAATGTAGTGGGTGATAAATATACGACACGTTGCATAGGGTTATGTTATCAGAATGTAGTGGGTAATAAATAAACGACACGTTGTATAGGGTTATGTTATCAGAATGGAGTGGGTGATAAATAAACGAAACCTTGCATAGGGTTGTTATCAGGATGGAATGGGTAATAAATACACGACACAATGTATAGGGTTATGTTATTAGAAGTTCAAAGTAACAAAAGAGGTCACATATGTACAGCCGACAGAGTGACTGATGGTATCTCTGACTAATTTCTGTAAATAGAAGATCGTAAACACAGATTTGTTCCTTGAAAATGTCTTTCGAAGAAATACAGCTATAGAAAACAATAAACAACAGTACATGTATCATCAAACTGGCCAAGATATAGTCTATAGTGATAACAAATAAAAACCAAAACCATGTCAACAGTCGACTACAAAAGCGTGACTTAAATTCACAATTTCACAACTTCTGCAGTGGTTGTGAAAGAATCTAGTTCAAATCGTCTGTATGGCAGCTTGTCTCCATGCGCATGACTAACATTTTTCTCTTTTTTTTTTCCCTAAAATTTATTCCGACTTATTTAATAAAAAATAAGGCGACATTGACAGGTCGTGACGGAGTCGATGACATGTCCAAAAGCCTCTCTTGGGGAAGACTAGTAAATGTTGTAGGGTGTACACGGCTGCTGTACATCCTCTGTTAGATACTCTCCAGGTATAATGGTGACAGTTGCTTCTACATGCTTCCCACTCATTATTCTTAATTATGAATTCGCCGTTTATACGGGACACATTCTTTTAAATATTGCTCATGATACACTCAGGTAACTAAAGAAACACTTATAACTTTGGGGATCTCATAGATACAAAGGGACACTGCTAGGTGGCCATTAATAACATCAGTCTGCATATCTGCATAGAAATGATCGATGAAACAAAATTTGACCTAATACTGTAACCCACAAAAAAAGCATTTTTATCAAAGTAATCAGAAGACATTAATGAAAAAAAATGTTGAAAATCATAAACGTTTACAAAAACATAATTGTACCTTGGTGTCCACGATGGCTGCCCGTCGTCCCCGCCGCGACAGGGGAGGAGAGGGTTCACAGTCGCTTTCCTCAGATCCGCTGGTCAAGCTAAGAGAGCTTCTCCTTCGGCTTATCTATCGATACACACCAAGGTAAATAGTATAAGTTAAACGTACGAAAAAACCTCTACACGACGTCAGCAAAGATAACGTACTGTTTACATGACGTCAACAAAGATAGCGTACGATGTAATGTTTACACGACGTCAACATTGATAACGTACGATGTAATGTTTACACGACGTCAATAAAGATAACGTACGATGTACTGTTTACACGACGTCAACAAAGATAACTTACGATGTAATGTTTTCACGACGTCAACAAAGATCACGTACGATGTAATGTTTACACGACGTCAGCAAAGATAACGTACGATGTAATGTTTACACGACGTCAACAAAGATCACATACGATGTAACGTTTACACGACGTCAACAAAGATAACNACGTACGATGTAATGTTTACACGACGTCAACAAAGATAACGTACGATGTAATGTTTTCACGACGTCAACAAAGATCACGTACGATGTAATGTGTACACGACGTCAACAAAGATAACGTACGATGTAATGTTTACACGACGTAAACAAAGATCACGTACGATGTAATGTTTACACGACGTCAACAAAGATCACGTACTATGTACTGTTTACACGACGTCAACAAAGATAACGTATGATGTAATGTTTACACGACGTCAACAAAGATAACGTACGATGTAATGTTTTCACGACGTCAACAAAGATAGCGTACGATGTAATGTTTACACGACGTCAACAAAGATAACGTACGATTTAATGTTTACACGACGTCAACAAAGATAACGTACGATGAATGTTAACACGACCTCAACAAAGATAACGTACGATGTACTGTTTACACGACGTCAGCAAAGATCACATACGATGTACTGTTTACACGACGTCAACAAAGATAACTTACGATGTAATGTTTACACGACTTCACCAAAGATTACGTACGATGTAATGTTTACACGACGTCGACAAAGAATACGTACGATGTACTGTTTACACGACGTCAACAAAGATAACGTACGATGTAATATTTAAATTCTGTATGTTTTAACCTACTGACCAAAATTAATTCGTCAAATTGCGTATTGATACAATGTCGGACGGATTACATAATTCGGGCGTTTTTGTTCACCATCTGAAGCCGCCCTTAGTGTATTGTGATTAAGTTTATTACAAAGTAACATTTAACATCATTGCATTCAATGTTGGTAAAATGAGGTTCTGGTCGTTTAAATGACATAAAATCAAACGCAGTTGGTATGGGATTGTGTTATTATATATATCGGATTTTCACCAGTTTCCCCATTTTGGATTGTCATCAGTTTAATACAACAGCATTCCTCACGGGAATGTATTAAGTTACAATGCAGCTGATGAAACAACGTGTGTATGTTACGTTTGTTAATTGATCACAGTCAAAAGGTATCAATTAAGACAAGTGATATTTGGCAGAACGCCAACAACAAACCGACCCACTGTCTGATTGCTGTTAGGACAATAACGCTCCTTCATCTCCCTATGTCAGAGGGGAGGAAACGTTGGTAAAGGATTGCCATTTAGATGGTAAAACATGGTCGCTACTTCCTACCTTCTTCGGAACCGAAAGGAAATTTTGGCCCTTGTGAGATTGGTAAACTTTTCCGTTCTGTGAATCTGGAAAGAGAAGAGCGACACAAGATCAATCGAAAATCAATGTTCCTTGCGGCAATGTTTAAATGAAAACAAATGGCGTGCATGTTTAGTCACGATATTCGGCCGTTAACAAGCTCACAGCAAAAGAGAAGAACAGCCCACAGCGGACTACTATTCCCCATCCATGATGGGACAAAGTTTGTGATCACCGGCCCTTGGTAGTCGATATCCGCCAGTTACTATGCCATTACATAATTAACATACATTCCAGTTATAAGTCATTTGAAAGGGTTTTGATCTTAACTTCTGTCGATTTCCGTTCAAAATACTGAAGACCGTGATATTTATATGTAAAACATATAATAATGCGTTGTTTATATCTACAGCTGTTTTTATGTCCAGTGCTTACTGTCCAATTTACTGTTCATATTCAGTGACTCCGATCATGTTGTTTATATGTCGTATACCTACAGACAAGTCCAGTACTGACGACCACGTTGTGTATATGTCCAATACCTACAGACATGTCCAATACTGACGACCACGTCGTTTATATGTCCAATACCTACAGACAAGTCCAGTACTGACGACACGTTGTTTATATTTCCAATACCTACAGACAAGTCCAGTACTGACGACCACGTTGTTTAGATGTCGTATACCTACAGACAAGTCCAGTACTGACGACACGTTGTTTATATGTCCAATACCTACAGACAAGTCCAG